AAAGCTTTCTCTTATCCATATGAGTAAGGCTGGGTTTACTCAGATGTTTCAGCTCTTTCCCAGTACTATTTTGAGAGCCTTTTAGCCTAAACGGACTATTCCTAAAGGTGCGTGGTAATGTACCAAACAGTGTGTCTTTGCTATTCATAAGGTTTTCCCTGGCCAATTCTTTGAAAAGTGGATGGTATATATAGTACACAATAAAATAAGATTAAAAAAAAAAAAAAACCTCACTGCCGTCGAGTTGAATTATAGTATGTTTAAAACAATAATTTGCTCTTTTGACTGTAAATAGCTTGGATTTAGATCTATTTGTTTATTTTATCTAATGCTTGTTGATATGAACCATACTGCTAAAATATCATTGCATCTTCTTCTGGAGAAGGAACTCTTAAAGCAAAAACTGAATGTTCCCTTTAATGAGTATTAAATCTTTCAAAGAAACTATGGGATACAAAAAGAAATCAGTTATGGGGAGATTTTCTAAGAATTTGGATTTCAAATCTCATAACATCAAGCTTTCTGTTATTATGCACCTGAACATGGTTGAATATTAACATGGAATGAGGAGAAATAGGAGATTTAAGAAACAGTACATGTGAGTACTCTAAATAATTATTTAATACATGGCAATGTCAAATTTTTAAGCTAAAGAATTAGCCTTAAGATTGCTCTTCCTTTAGTTAATATTAAATGCATAGTATCACAGGCTTTGGATCAGAATAGTGAGCTCTGATATTTACCTGTGTTATAACTTTGGAGATGTTACCCAGCCTATCTGAAAATCTTGGTGTCTTCATATAAAAAACAGAAATTCATGCTAACCTTGTAGAATTTTTCCAAGGATTAAATGAAATCCCATTAAGAGCACTGACCTAGGAAGAGTTTCACGTTTGACACTCAATAATTCTGGTTTCCTTTTCTTCTAGCCTCAAATTCATTTCCACATAAAAATTTAAGAAGCTACTTTGGCCATTACTTTACAAGTGAAGGGGCACATCACCTTTCTTTAGATTTTCTCTGTTCTTACCTGGTGATAAAGTGCTTCGGGATAGTCCTGAGTCATTAATCGAAACAGGGCAAATAAGGCCCAGCCAAAATTGTCAAAATTTGTGTAGCCAAAATCAGGGTTTCTGCCAGCTTTTACACACATGTAGCCTTCAGGACACTGACTAAAGAACACGAAGAAAAGAAAAACTTCTGTTAGGTGACTCTCATGGACAAATCATAAATATAGAACACCTGTCTCCTAATAATGGTGGCATCCTCTTTTACAGGGAGTAATTAGTCTTCTCCCAAAACAATTTCCACCTAAAAAGCTACAAAAGAGCTAAATCTTGAGTCAGTGTAAAGGAACAGTGTTAACTGTGCCAAAAAAGCAAAAGTGTCTCAAAAATGGTGTTTGCCAAGCCTTTGTTAATGATTTCTTTACTACCCAATATCAAAGTGGAGATATTTAAACATCACAGTGAAAAGTATAACTGATGCAAAGTTATATTAATAAAAATTAAAATGAAGTTGTTTTGGATTTAATTTTCAAGTAATCTTACCTCAAACCATTAGGCCACATTATTTAAGGGTGAGGAAATATTTACTACATCAGTAATTTATAAATAGCACTTGCCTTTGCACAGAAGGATCAGATTAGTTTATTTCATTTCTCTTCAGGGAGTCCTGATACTTTTATCTACTGGGGGTCTTGAGTATTGTGGTAGATTAGTACAGTTGTCACTCAGTAAATCATGCTTCTCTATAGCCACATATTTAGTGTAGTTCCCTCCCACATTATTCTGGGTTTGGCAGTGTGACTTGTTTTGGGCAATTGTTAATAGGACATTAACAAATGTGATGCAAGTAGAAGTTTCAAAGGTCCTTGTGCATTGGGGCTTGCCCCTCTCTTGGTGCTCTGAGTCTATAATACAAAGAGCCTGGCTTAGCCTCATTGAGAGGCATGTGAAGATAAGGTTCTGGAAAATAAGATCATGAGAAGAAATAAGCCCTACTGTCTCAGCCACACAACCATCTCAGCTAAGGCCCACAGGTGAATGTGACGCCATCTTGGATCATCCAGCCTCTATCCAGCTGTCAGATGACTGAATCTGCGTGAGTGATTCTTGGTGGCAACCCCAGAAGTGTAGCTCAGTTGAACTTTTCCTAAGTTGCTTACTTCTAGAATCTGAGCAAAGACATTTATTATTCTTTTAAGTCACAATAACTTTTAACTCTATGGGTAACTTAGGAGCTCTGGTAGCGTAGTGCCTAAGGCACTTGACTGCTAACCAGAAGACTGGCAATTTAAGCCCACCAGCCACTTCTTGGAAGAAAGTTTGGGCAATCTACTTCTGTAGTGATACTGGCTCAGAAACCCAAGGAGGGATCGCTATTTGTCAGGTCTGACTTGACAGCACATAACAACAACAACTACCATGCAGCAAAGGATACCTATTATAGCACTGCATGGCTTTCTCTTTTTACCTTGAAATGTATCATTGTAATCCTGGCTATCCAAGACCAGATATCAGCTTCAACACACATTTGAGCTCATATTTGAATTTGGAATGTATATGGAAAAGGTTAGCTGAAATAGGATGACATGACAATGAGATGGGTTTTGGACTTGAGAATTGAACAGGGAAAACTAGACATAAAACATCTGTGCTAAGCAAGCAATCCAAAACCAAAAACCAAATCCATCATTGTTGAGTCGATTCTGACTCAGAGCAATGCTATACAACAAGATACAAAAAGTCTAACTGACCTGAATATTTAATTAAACTAAGTAACTCTTGCTCCTCTTCCTCATGTACCTTTTGTTAAACTGGGTTGTCAAGGTTCCCCAGCCAAAGAAAAGCAAAGGCAAGATTAGGAAATTATGTGAGTCACAGCACTGGTGAGAAACAGTCTGTTTCTACTTCATCTCTATTTGGAATTATGAGACAATAAGACATGAGCCATTTCCCTAAAGCATTATTTATAAATACTGTTTTAAGAACAGTGAGCTTTGTATACTATAAATTAGTCATGAAAGATAGGCAAAAAACAAAATGAGTGAAATATGGCATATCTTTGATAGTATTTTTCTTCAAAGGCGTCTGGCTAAAGAACAGATTTATAGTGTCTTTCTTGGCAATTTCGCCTGGCTCTGGGTAAAGTGAAAATAGTTTGAAGGCCATTTTTTTAAGTTCCAACTCTGCCATTTGCTAGCTTTTTTGACCTTGCATAAATTATTTAACAAATCTATCTATTGTTTTTTTCTAAAGGAGTTGGATTAATACTATTCTATGTTATCTACTTCTCAGTTGATGATTCAATGAGATAATGTAATCAAGTGTGAGTCATCAGTAAAAGCAATAGTCATTCAATAAATACTTATTTGTTGCTGACATCAACACTACTTACCTAGCATCTGTTCTGTTGCCACAAAGGAGAGCATCTCTTTCTCCTTCCAAGTAATAAAAGCTTTCCACCTCTGAAAAACAAGAAAACAATGATCTTCCATATCTAATCTTAGAGTTCTGGTAGCATAGTGGCTAAGACACTTGCCTGCTAACCAGACGGCTGGCGGTTCAAACCCACCAGCCACTCCTCGGAAGGAAGGTTGGGCAATCCTACTTCCGTAGTGATAACTGCCTCGGAAACCCAAGGAGGGGTCGCTATGAGTTGGGGCCGACTCGACGGCACATAACAACAACAACAACAATCTTAGAGTTAAACAAAATATCTGAAGTCTGTACAGATCAGCACAGAAGATGAACATCCCTTTCCAAAGCTAAGGTAACAAGAGCATAAATCCTGGCTTTCTTAGTATCTAATGCACAGGACATAAGACCTGTGGGAAGCCAATGCTTCCCTGCCCCAAAGTGACAAAGCTAGGCAGAAAAAGGAAAATCTCTGTCAAAATTAAGGTGCAATGAAGTGGATAGAGCCAGCCAGATAGGACTAGAATCCCTGAAAGAAAAATTCCCAAGACTAAACTGTTTGAGACATGAGGACCTTTTCTTCCAGGGTTGATTCCTGATGATCTTTGTGAGCAGGAGAATAAATTCCTCTGTCTCTGGGTTTAATTTACATTCTCCTGCCACCTAGCTTATTCTTCTACTGTGCATATTCAGTTCCTGTTGCTTGCCCTACTGTCACCTAATTTTAACCACAACCTAAGCTAATTTAAATTGTAGCTCATATAATTTGTCCACGTATTCCCATCTGCTTTCCATCCAAATGTAAATTGTGTGTTTATACATATCTGTTTCCAGGGTTGGGGACATGCATGTTTGGAAGCATTGATTTTTAGGCTCTGAACTCAAATTACAGATATCAAACCCATAATTTAATAATGTGTATAAAAACATACAAAATTAAAGTACTCTAGACTCAAATAATGTCACATTAATTTGTCACATAAAAAATTTTAGAATAGTTTTTAAATTCATAGTTTGGTACCATTGATTAAACTTTTGCAATAACAATCAAAAGCCAAATTAAATTTGACATTAACAGTACTAGGAAGTACAAAATACTCTTTGAAATACATGAGCTACGAAATGGCATTTATGTTAATAACAGTTTTCAAATTGTATTTTCAACTATTGTCTAATATGTGATTTGAGGAAATAGAATTATTAGAATTGGGCAAATTTAAGGTGATAATGTTTACAAGGAGTTCAGGTAGTGTAGTGCTTAAAGCATTTGACTGCTAACCAGAAGGCTGGAGGTTCAAACCCACCAGCTACTCCTGGGACGGAAGGTTGGGCAATGTACTTCCATAGAGATACTGCCTTGGAAAACCAAGGAGGGGTCACTATGAGTCAGATCCAACTGGACGGCAGCAAGTTTTTTGTTTTTATTTTTTGAATCTTTACAAAATAATTTATTTTAAGATAATACTGTACTTTGACAAAGAAAAATGCACCTGGATTTTATCTTATTAATAACAACCAAGGAAGTAGCAAATTGTTCATGTTTTTAAATAGTTAGTATATTTTTGTTTTAACATCAAATGAACCAGAGTATTTCAATTGGAATAAAAGAGTTAACAACCTTCTCCTTTTATCCTCGCTACTAGATTTAAGACCATGACAATGTCGTATATAATAAAGAAAGCTTTCTCATACTCATCCACTAATACTTTTCTATTATGTGCACTATAATCATATTATGGCATAAATCAAAGAGTAAAAATTATTAAGATTTGTTTTGGAGCTTATTAATTCGAAAAACCAAACTCACTGCTGTCAGTTTGGATCCAACTCATGCCAACCCCTCCTTGGGTTTCTGAGGTGGTATCTCTATGGAAGTAGATTACTCAATCAAGGAGTGGCTGGTGGATTTGAACCGCCAGTCTTCTGGTTAGCAGTCAAATGCCTTAGACACTTTCAAAAGTATATTTGAAATTGATGTGGAAGAGCTATATAAGGCTTATCAAATTTTATTTTTAATACTTAAAAATATACTTTTATTTTATTAAACTGTCAGAAAGGATGTGACAATTTTATTGTGAGAGAGAAACCAATAAAAGAGTATGATGACATGGTGAAAAGAGCAGGTATTTTAGAGCTAAGTCAAACTGCATGAGAAACCTAGTTTTGCTAAATAGTTCTATTACCCTGGGACATGCACTTAGCTTTTCTGAACCTCCACTTCCTTGTTTGTGAGGAGTTAGTTATATTACCTCTTCCACATGATGGCGAAGATATGAGATAAGGCATACAAGTTACTTGTGTATGGGAACTAAGCAGTACTTATTAGGCATTATTTTTATTAGTCTACAATATTTTGTAGTAGCTCTGGTAGCATAGTGTCTAAGGCACTTGACTGCTAACCAGAAGGCTGGCGGTTCAAACCCACCAGCCACTCCTCGGAAGGAAGGTTGGGCAATCTACTTCCGTAGTGATACTGCCTCGGAAACCCAAGGAGGGGTCTCTATGAGTCGGGTCCGACTCAATGGCACATAATAGCAACAACAAACAATATTTTGTTATCTAAAAAATTATAAGAAAGCTTTTTTAAATGAGCAGTTGTAGTTGAAATCAAACAGTGAAAATTATTACATTATATGAGTAAACTTCTATCGATAATTTAATAAAAACAGCTTTATTGTAGAATAGTAATATTATGAGGATGCTACTTTAGCTCTTTCTAATGAAATTTCAGATAAGGCTGGTTTTATTTGTTTATTTTTCTAATGATAAAATTTGTAAACTTTAGAAATTCCAAATGTAGGTTGCCCTGATTTTACTGTCTGAAAAGTAGGGAGTTTGCTATCCTGATACATAAAAATGATGCAAATAAGTATATGAGCATACTTACAGCATTTACATAGTTTGTTCTGAGGTTGTGTTCAACATTGCTACAAAGACTGCTTTGTCTTTCGGAAATGTTTTAATTTTTTGACAGAGATGGCAAGTGGTTCTTACCTCGAATATCATATAGGCTTCCAGTTCTGTTGTGCAGTGTTTCATTTTCATTTTCTTGGGGCCACCGCAAACACTTATGCTTCAGGTTGCCCATGAAGAGCCCCATCCCAATTAGAGAAAATATGCTCAGAAAAAGCAGAGTTAGCAAAATGACACCAGTAAGTTTCTTCACACAATGGCTCAGGTTCCCTACAAGAGACCTTTGACCTGAGAAGACAGAAGTTTGTTTCTATAAAATATCTTTAGCAAACCACTGCTATTGCAAATGAATGCCCTATTGAAATCAGCAGATTCGTATCTAATTTTCATTATCTAAGTATAATAAATAAAGAGAACAAAAAAAACACATTTTGAGGTTTTGGTATTATGTTAATTTACAATACCTGGAAAAAGAATACCAACATAATACTTTAAAATTAGTTATTTGTTTCTTTTTACTCTAAAAAGAACAATGGGCTAACTTCTTCACTTGGTTACTGCTTGTGTATAAGCCACCATTTTTTATAAGCATAAATAAGGAAAAGCATAGAGTCATAAATAAAAAATAGGTTGTGTTGTTGAAACAATAAATGGTTTGAAATAACAGAATCTATACTATTCTTTCTTTAACTTTGTTGTTGTTGTTATGTGCCGTGGAGTCAGACCCGACTCATAGTGACCCCTCCTTGGGTTTCCCAGGCAGTATCACTACAGAAGTAGATTGCCCAAACTTCCTTCTGAGGAGTGGCTTTAACATTAGAAGAATTCAATTTTTGGAACAGTTTAAATAAAACTTGGGAAAATTTTAATGATTAGAAAAGAGAATATTACACAACTATGTCTATTTCATAATGGTGTATGTATTTATATCAGAATACTTATTAATTGAGAATCCAAATTTAGTTTTGTTTAACAGTATTAATTTTTCTAGTTATTAAACAACACATATTCAATGATGAAAAAAATTAAAAAAAGAAAAAAGAAGAAACAACAAACAAAAATAACATGTAATTTTACCTCATAGATAAAAAACGTTGTTGACATTTTGGTGTATATACATTCAAGTTTCTTCTGCCTCACTCTTCCCTCCCTATTTGTTGGTTTGAGTGTATTTAGAATTCTTATAACTGCTCAACTCAACAACGGATGAGAATATTTTAGCTTTGTAACTTTGAACAAATTACCTAATTTATATGCTCAAGTTTTCTTATCTTTAAAATGGGGATAATAGCATATATTTTGTATGTTATCATGAAAATTGAAGGTTTATTTTTTAAAATGGCCTGCTCAGATCATTGCATTTCTAGAGTGAAATGAATAGAGTTGAAGTAAAGTCATTTCTGTGGCTGAAGAAATGTAGTAGGATTACGTATAAATTATAATTGATGCCCTATTGTAGCACTTAGAATCATATCAATATTTTTAATAAGCAAGTCCTTAAGTGTTTTATCAGAATTGAAATTTCTCTTCAAAATACATGATAATGATTTTTTAAAAAAGGAAGTCTTGAAGAGATATGTAGTCTTTCGATTGTACACATTGGTTCAATGTCTCTTAAAAACTACTTAAATGTATGTCTACTTTTTTTTAAGTATTTGTACAGATATTTAAATTAGTTTTAAGAGACATTGAGCCAATATATATAATCAAAAGACTATATATTTCTTCAAGACTTCTTTAAAAAAAATCATTATGTATTTATTAGGAAAAAAATGGGTCACTTTACTTCAATGTATATTCCTGTGATTATCATTATAATTATTTAAAAAATACATATTTGCATTATTATATTTTTATACTACTACCATGATATCTCCAGGAGCTATGATGGTGTAGTGATCAAGGCAGTTGGCTGCTAGCCAAAAAGATCCATGGTTCAAACCCACCAACCACTCCAAAGAAGAAAGATGAGGCAGTCTGCTTCCATAAAAATTTAGAGTGTTGGAAACCCAGTGGGGGTTGCTGAGTTGGAATTGACTGGATGGCAGTGACTGAGTTTTTAGTCATGATTTTTCGTTCATTTTCCTCTTGAAAATTTATTGTATTCATATTTTCTTGTTGGAATTATGTCTAAGAATAAAACCAAAAACCAAACTCACTGCTGTGGAGTTGATTGTGACTCATAGTGACCCCTCCTTGGGTTTCTGAGGCAATATCTCTACAATAGATGGCTAAGTCTTCTTTCCAAGGAGTGCCTGGTGGGTTTGAACTGCTAGTCTTTTGGTTAGCAGTCAAATGCCTTAGGCATTACACCAATAGAAATTCTTAAAAAAAGATTATCATTCTATCTACCCATTATTGCATCAAAAAACCAAACGCACTGCCCTCGAGTTGGGTCCGACTCCTGGTGACCCCTCCTTGGGTTTCCGAGGTGATATCACTACGGAAGTAGATTGCTCAACCTTCCTTCCCAGGAGTGGCCAGTGGGTTTGAACCTCCATGGTTCTGGTTAGCAGTCAAATACCTTAGGCTTTATACCACCAGAGCTTCTTTTACACATTATATACACATTATAGCCACAATTTCTTGTGGATTTTTAATTTTGGTGGTGATGTTTTAAAGATGAAGATATCACCAACAAACTTTAACAGCATCAAATTTATTAATAATTTTCATTATTAATTTTACTGTTAAGATTAGCTTTAGATAAGTCTGGTCCACATGCCAATTTTTATTTTAATTCTGTGGTATAACTTTTCTTGTACTTTTAAACTTTCATTTTGTTTTAGATTTGTCATGATTCTTGCAGAATTTTAATTTATTTCTAATTTAATACTAAACTCTCCTTCAAGAGAAAAAATTAAGTCAGTTATATTTATTTTTCATATATTAGCTTTACTTTTTTGATATACTCTTAACATTTTGTGGGAGCTCTGGTGGCTTAGTGCCTAAGGCATTTGACTAACCAGAAGACTGCCGGGTCAAACCCACCAGCCACTCCTTGGAGGGAAGGTTGGGCAATCTATTTCCATAGATACTGCCTCAGAAACCCAAGGAGGGGCTGCTGTGAGTGAATTGACTTGAAAGCAGTGAGTTTTGGTGAGTTCAACATTTTATATTTTGAGTTTTATATTTCTTCTATTATTCACTGTGTTTTCAATTCTTTATAAATAAACTTTATTTTACTTTTTTTCCTCTAGAATTTAACTATATCTCATTTGAGATCTGATGTCAAATTTAACTTTTTTTTTTAAAAAACAAACAATGTAAACACTATGAAACCATTATGGATCATAGTTCTACTCTGATACTTACGGGGTTCTCATGAGTCAAAATCGATTTGACAGCATTTTTTTGTTGTTGTTTTAATGAAACTAGGGATGGGAAAATTTCCATCAAGGCAACTCTCAGTTTGGTTTCTTTACTGGATTTTCGAAGCTGCCATGCTAGAAATTCCAAACTTTTTTGGTTTTGGTCATATTAGAGACCATTTTTATTAAACAGTTTAAGATCTAATTCACATACCGTAAAATTCACCCACTTAATGTACAATGTAATGCATTTAATGTGTTTTGCATATTGTCACAATCTCCACAGTTGAGCTGTTTTTGCTTAGCTTGGACTTCAAGTACACAGTATGCATATGTCTGGCTTTCTTCATGGTGTTCCAGCTCATGGCGGTTGAAGTAGACCTACCTTACTTTGGCGTTAGCACACTTACACTTTGTTTTCTTGATGCCTCTAATATTTCACAATACTTTTGAGTCATAGCAGCCAAAAACAAAATAGCAACAACAAAACTTCCTAGTGGAGTTGCTGGTGGGCTTCAGTTAGGTTTTCCTCAGTAACCAAAACCCCACTGCCATCCAGTCGATTCAGACTCACAGCAAAGGGAGATGTAAAATATTCTCTAGTGTTTTCCATCAGTGTAGTTGCAGCTCTATCTTATTTATCAGAACTTTCCTGAATTTACATCATGTAGCTTGCACCCTATTCAGGTGCTCACAGCAAAGGAAAATATATGTTATTTTATATATTTTTATTTCTCTGTTCATTTCAACTCATTCTTGATGCAATGAGGAGAAGAAGGGGGAAGATATCTACGTATATTTCTTTCCTACTCAGAAGTCTAAAGACAATTTTAAAAGCTCCTATTTAAGATGTAGAATAATCAAAATTAATGATGCATTTTTATTGATCACTAAATTGATAACATATGTACTGAACCCATCCTAAATCAGTAACATTCAAGTGCAATATTTTTTCACCTTTCTTGGAATAAATTTAAATATCTAATAAGGCAATGATTTTAATACTAAAGCATTGTTCTATTTCACATATTCTACAACAGCAACAGGGGAGTACAAATGAATACATGAAAGTATATGTGGAAAAATGAAAAAAAAGGAGCTTAATGCTGTATCTTACCTTTATTTAAAGGTATAATTTTCAAAATCCTCAAAGTTCTTGCAATATTAAGTATTGAAGTGAAGCCTGGAAGTAAATACCTTGTTATAAACCTGTGGAATTAAATTAAAGGTTATTCAAAATTCATAGTGGGTCTATGGTATTTATCTTTTGTTTTTTATACTTTTTGAAGCTTATTTTTAATACCATCTATAAACATTTATTTTGATTCCATTCTTTAATTTTACATATAGTCATAGTATCATCATTGAGTAGAAAACAAAAGATTTCTATAGTGCAAGGTAGTCAGGTAAATATTAATCCAAGTATGAGAATTTTTAAAGTTTGATGCCATGAATACTCTTAAGTCCCTATCAAGTGCTGTGTATTATATTCATAAATCTTTTTAAATATAATTACTGCAAAGATAGCTAAAATTAAGAAAAAATAATGGTTTGTTTTTTAAGGGATGAGATTAATTTTAAATATTTAATATTTAAACTTTTGATGATAGTGATTGACCATGAGGATAATGGTAATGATGATGATAGTAGAAGCAGTATGTATAGTGGTTAAGGGCAAAATCCAGGGTCCACCTTATACTAGCTGTGTGACATGAGTCAATTACCTAACCTACCTTGCCTCAGTTTCCTAAAATGTAAAATGAGGATAATACTTCCTGAATCAGAGGCTTTTTATCAGGATTAAATGAGCTAATATTTGCAAACTGTTTAGAAGAGCACCTGGTACATAGTAAGTGCTCAGCAGCAGCAGCAATCATAATACCAATAGTAGCGATACTAATGATAATACTGACAATGATTAGTACTATTTTTCTACTTGCTTACAATATGACAGACACTGCTTATGATCTATATAAAGGTTATTTCTTTAAAAGAAACTTTAACAAAAAATCTGGAAGTGGAAGATAATTTTAAATTATGTTTGATAGGAGTATGATGACTCATTCACTTTTACTCTCACTGCCGTGGAGTTGATTGCAACTCATAGTGATCCCTCCTTGGGTTTCCGAGGTGGTATCACTACGGAAGTAGATTGCCCAATCTTCTTTCTGAAGAATGGCTGGTGGGTTTGAATTACCAGCCTTCTGGTTAGCAGTCAAATGCCTTAGGCACTACACTACCAGAGCTCCCCAGTATGATGCCAGTGATTTTTTTTTTTTTAGCAATAAAACAGGGAGTTAAATAGAGCCATTAAAACATATAGACATGTCAAGTAGTATAATTTGGGATTGTACCCCAGAAATTGTGTATGTGTGTGTTTAATTAAAATATTTTTCCTGGTATTTAGCATGTTTATGAATCTGAAGCAATGTAGCTAAATGAAAAGTAGACTGGGGACTGGGAATCAAACATGCCAGGATCCTATTTCTTGATTTCAAAGGACTGTTAAATTAAAATGCACAATTTAATCTCTTTCTTGCTTTCAATATAAAACAGAGATAATATCCCATTATTTTCATTTGCATTATATATTCTGAGAATTAACTCACTTGGAGCTGCCTAAAAGAACTCACTATGGCTATGATTTGAGAAACACTGTCTTTTGAAAAAATTTTTGAGGCAGTAACCTTTGTACACTTCACAGTTTGTTTATGAAAAGTACTTAGCAAGATGTTAAGATGTTTACAACTTAAATACTCACTCAAACAAAGTGACACTGAAATCAAGCCAGTTCCATGGATCACCAACAAAAGAAAAAGGTCCTGCCCAGATGCCTCTCGCAATGAGTTTCACAAGTATTTCAAATGTGTAAATTCCAAGCAAAGCATTCCTGGAAAATTTGTTTACATATAAATATTAAAGGTAAGAAGAATACAATGTTAACTCTGAAACACTATGTCTGTGATAACTATCTGGCAATTGAGAACCAGACATCAGAAAAGTAAGAACAGATGTGTAGGCCAAAAGCAACAACTATCAACCCAACAATAATTAAAAATACAATTAGCACTTGCATCTGAAGAAAGGCGTTCAGATTGGACTTCTTGGGTGGGCTAATGTCTATGATATTAGCCATGAAGTTTGACTAGTCCTAGCTTAGAGGTGATAGTCTTACTTATTTTTTTAGGTAAATGATGAAAATACCTAATACCAAATTAACCTCCTAGAAATTACACGATAAATAACTGAACTGTGACTATGAAACACCTATATATGCATATACCAGTATTTTTAAAGATCCACAATTGTGCATGGTTAAGTGCTACGCAGCTAAGCAAAAGGTTGACAGTTCAAATTTATCAAGTGACTCCATGAGAGAAAGACTTGGAGCTCTGCTCCCATAAAGATTACAGTCCAGAAAACTCTACTCTGTCAGATGAGTTAAAATTGACTCCACAGCACTTAACAACAATAACAACCAGTATTTTTATCATGAATCAGTGTTACATTTACCTTCCAGTGTCAACTAGCTTTAAGAACAGACTTAAGGCCAAGGAAGTAAAGCTTCATGAAAGCATTCTTACCCAGAAATTTAAAGGGCCTTTCCATCATAGTGTTCTAATATAAGTCAAATGACTCATATCCCTCAGGAAAAAGAAGAAGATATGAGAGATGAAGAGAAAGAATAATTTCCATAAAGAATGGAAGAAAGCTCACTACCATTGAGTCGCTTCGACTCATAGTGACTGTGGTAGTTAAATTTATGTGTCAACTTGGCTGGGCCTGGTTGAGTGGCTGGGCAGTTGGTGGTAGTTATTCCCCATGATGAGACTGGCAATCAACTCCATGTTGGGATCTACCACAAGCAGCTGAGTAGCTGCCTTTGGGATGTGGTCTGCTTCCTCTATATAAGAAGAAGGCTTGGGGATAGTCTCTAGTTTATGGCACGCTTGGACCCTGAATGTAGCTGTGTCATTGTTCAGCAGCCTGCCATGCTCTGCCAACCTTGGGATTTACAGTGGACTTAAATTAATGGCCTGCCGTGTGGTTTGGTAACATCAGGACATGTCAACCTTGGGCTTGTCAGCCTCAGCAGCCAGCAGCTGTCTGAGTGAAGAAAAGCCTCTAGCTCCAGTGGGCTGGGAGCAGAGCTGGACCCCAAGGTTGAGAGGCTTTCACCCAGCCCCTAGAGCCTGGCACTTTGAACTTGGACTTAAAGCCTCCAAACAGTAAGAGAATAAACTCCTGTCTGTTAAGGCCATCCCATTTGTGGTGTATTCTTATCAGAGCGACACTAGGTAACCAGAACAGCAACCCCTCCTTGAGTTTCCAAGGCAGTATCTCTATGGAAGTAGATTTCCCAGCATTCCTTCTGAGGAGTGGCTGGTGGGATTGAACCACCAGCCTTCTGGTTAGCAGTCAAGTGCCTCAGGAATCATTATTTCAGTTCAAAGAAAATCAAGTGTATGATTGCACTAGTAAAGAAGACCTGATGCAGTAAAACATTACATTGGTAATTAGTAATTATCTTTGAAGTAAAACCCCACTTATGAGATACTATGGACATAAACATATAGCTTAAGACTAAAAAATTTATAGTATGTAAGCCTAACATGCTGTGAAATAAAGATATTTAAAATCTAATAGAAATTAATGAAAAGCCAGAAAAAAAAATCTAAAACTGATTAATATATTAATATAAAACACCCATTAATCCATTGCCATTGGCAAACCTATAGGACAGAGTAGAACTGCCTTTTAGGGTTTCCAAGGCTGTAATCTTTATGGAAGTAGACTGCCACATCTTTCTATTGTGGAGCATCTGGTAAGTTCAAAGTGTTGACATTTTGGTCAGCAGCCAAGTGCTTAACCACTGTGCCACTAGGGCTCTCTCTCTATAATATATATATATATATATATATATATATATATATATATACACACAAATATATTATATATATACATATATATACACATAAGATATTTATATGATATATATCATATATAAATGATACACACACCCAGTTCTCAGTTACTGAAGAGTTGATTCTGACTCATGGAGACCTCCTGGGTGTAGAAATAGAAATTTGCTCCATGGGGTCTTCAAGGCTGTGAGCTTTTTGAAGCAAATCACTAGGCCTTTCTTTAGAGGGACCTCTGGGTGATTTCAAACCACCAACATCTCAGTTAGTAGTCAAACTTTTAACCATTTGTGCCACCCCCAAACTGCCACATATACATACACACTGCCATCAAGTGGAATCCAACTCATAGTGATTCCTCCTTGGGTTTCTGAGGCAGTATCACTATGAAAGTAGGTTGCCCAACCTTCCTTCTGAGGAGTGGCTGGTGGGTTTGAACTGCCAGCCTTCTGGTTAGCACACACATACATATAATGAATCACTTTTAGGATATTTAGGATATATATATTTAGGATACCTGTCTATCTATATCCTATATATCCTAAAAGTGATTCATTATATGTGTGTGTGTGTGTGTGTGTATGTGGCTAATACATTCATTGTGGTGTGTGTACATAAATATTATATTAATATCAATGATAATATATATAAAGTATGACTATTTTATATTATAGCATATAATTTCATGTAATATCCAAAACCAAAACCAAATTCACTGCCATAGAGTTGATTCCAACTCATAGCAACTCTCATAGGGTTTCCAAGGCTATAAATCTTTACAGAAGAAGACTGCCTCATATTTCTCCCTCAGAGCAGCTGGTGGTTTGGAACTGTTGACTTTTTTGGTTAGCAGCAGAATACCTTACCACAGCACCACCAGAACTCTAATGTAATATTGTTGTTGTTATGTGCCATCGAGTCAGACCCGACTCACAGGGACCCCTCCTTGGATTTCCGAGGCAGTATCACTATGGAAGTAGATTGCCCCATCTTCCTTCCCAGGAGTGGCTGGTGTGTTTGAAACACCACCCTTCTAGTTAGCAGTCAAGTGCCTTAGGCACTACTCTACTAGAGCTCCCATTAATGTAATATAGTAAATATAAAATATAATTATATATGATATTATGTATAATAAATTGTTATAACTTACTCTAATATTGCTTTCCAATCCACAAAATCAGTCATGGTCATAAGTATGCAGTCAGTCAGTACGCTAATTAAAATTAACAGTCGGAAAAAGGTAAGTTACAGTTAAGGAATAACAGAAAATAATGTTAAATAGTATATATTTCTGTAACCAGTTTATATTTATACACATATAGTTTCTTTACAGGAGCTCTGGTAGCATAGTGCCTGAGGCATTTGACTGCTAACCAGAAGGCTGGTGGTTCAAACCCACCAGCCACTCCTTGGAAGGAAGGTTGGGCAATCTACTTCCATAGTGATACTGCCTCAGAAACCTAAGGAAGGGTCACTATGAGTCGGGTCTGACTGGATGGCACATAACAACAACAACAAAAACAAATAGTTTCTTTAATGTTGAAAAATATACTCTCTTATTGAAAAACAATGGAATTAATATTTGTTAATATTTACTAATATTGTGTATACTAGAAAATACATTTTACAACACAGAACACTTACCAAACCAAACCTATTGCTGTTGACTCGATTCTGACTCAGTGACCCTGTAGGGCACAGTAGAACTTCCCCACAGGGTTTCCAAGGCTTTAATCATGATGGAAGCAGACTGGCAGACTGCCACATTTTTCTTCCAGTGAGTAGCTGGTAAACAGCAGAGCAGTTTAACCACTGTACCACCAGACTCTTTATGGAACACTTAGGGTGGTCATAATTCTGATATCAGTATGAATTTTTCAAAGCAGAAAATAATTGCAGGAATATTTGAATAATATAACAGTTGCATGTAGTATTAGAAGAGTCTAAAAGCACAATCATCAAGCCAATAGAAAAGGATATGGATGTACCAAAACCTTAATAGTTGTCCTTCTAATAGAACTGAAAGGTGACAAAGTACACCAGGTGGAAGTGGTATTGAATCTAAAGATTGTTCTCTTTTTATTTAATACCATGAATGTCTAGAGGAGGAAAAAGAATATCAAGTGCGATCAGAACTCAGAACCATAATTACAATCAATTATATACCATATTTCCAATGATCATTGCAGTCTAGGATTCTATCAGTTATATTTTTCTCTTTTCTACCATTCTTTTTTATGCCAGTGTTATACCCAAGAAAGTTACTTGCCACACACCAAAGTCCAGATCTCCGCACAGAACTAACTGTGGAAGAAAATTATATCCTCGTGGTTCATAGAGATGCATTTAATAGCACCAGAAGCAGTATGTTTCAAAAATCTTAAATGTAAAAAAGTTAATTTGATTTTACAGCAAATGAGGTATGAGATTACAATAGTATAGAAACCTGATGTACTGTAATATGACACTAATCATTAGTAATAATATTTGAAATGATTAACAAACTACTTGTTTCATATTATAGACATAAATACATATGTCACTGCTTTGACCACCACATCAAATCAATTCATGTTGATACTTCCTCTATCTCATTTCCCACAACTTGCAACATAGCTACAGAAGTCCAGTTATGCCATTGCTTGGTCTATCCTCTATTCTGGAATCATTCTCCTCTCTTGCCTGTTCGTAGAATGTCTTCACTTTGTTTCATAAAATTTTAGTGTTCTTCAATGTATAACTCAAATTCTACTTCCTTAATTAAGACTTTCAGTTTTTCAATTCTGCCTTTTCTAAACATAATTATTTATATATATATATATATATATATATATATATATAGGCACACATATATATAGTGCTTGTTCTCGGACTGTGCATATACTTAGTAGTTGCCTCAAGTCACTCTGGAAACAAGACAAGACACAAATATATGAATAAATACAAATTATAACGAAAATATAGCTTGACTTTACTATTGAAAGAGCCTATGAAGTTTAACATTTGATTGTTGAGGATATTCTAGATATTTTGTGTATATTTTAAAGTTGATAACCATAAGTGGCTAATCATCTTGTAGCCATAAAATAAGTTATTTACATGAAAACATAATAATATGGTCTATCCAAAGTAAAGTAACCAAAAACAAACTAACCAACCAGGAAAGGAATAAGTTTTTTTTAAAAAAATCTCAAATATGTGTGCTCCTAAAATGAAGTATCTTCTACAGACCTTTATAACTTACAATTACTGCTTAGCCAATTGTTTATTTTCTTTTTTCATTCTATGTGTGAGTACAGGTGTACACATTATGCATGTCTGGAAAGTAAAATAATAGAAATTCAGTCCTAATAAGATCAGTTAATTCTCACATTTTTATTGTAGTATGGGTCCACATCTTCCAAGGGTGCTGACACCATTCCTGGAGAAAGGTTTCCATAAGCAAATGGAAGCTCTTTGCCAACTTCCAAGTCAACATTTGGCTGTAAGTCTTCTTTGTGCTCCTCATTGTGCTTTTTAGCAATACGCTGTTTCATAAGTTCAAGAGATTCTTTGGTAAAAGGGACTAGGCCCTTAGGTTCTGGGGAAGCCAACATTTCCAATTTTGCACCTATAATACATGAATTTTCTTCAGTTCTATATAAGTTGGGTGTATAAAATTACAGAAGGTGATATGAGGAAGAGAAGAGCAAAATGAACATATGCATTCAAAGAACACATTTTTGAATTTTGTAGAAATCTGAGTTGTAATACATGGGTTTTGTACTCAGTATTAGACTTAATTTATTTCATGAGTAATTTATTCTTTCATTTACTGCCTTCCTCCTTTGTTATACTCATCTCCTTGGTAAATGCATGGGCAAAAAGATTCTGATTTATTCTATGTATATGAATATTTACCAAGTACATTTCCTAAAACACTCTCTGCCACCCATTGTCTGTATGGTAAAGACATGAAAGGCAACAATTTAACAAGGAAAAACAAAGTTCTTTGTCTTTCCCTGTAACTAGAATCATTTTTAAACCTTTTAGCCATTGTAAAAATAAAAACATAAACACAAACTCATTACTCTGGATTTTCATGAAATTTTTCTCTTTCTCATTAATCCCTCTAAACAAATATTTTTTTTCAGTTATTTCCCGTTGTATGTGCTAAATATTATCAATTGTTTACATATATATATTTCAAGGTGGGAGCTCTGGTAGCATAGTGGCTAAGACACTTGCCTGCTAACCAGATGGCTGGCGGTTCAAACCCACCAGCCACTCCTCGGAAGGAAGGTTGGGCAATCCTACTTCCGTAGTGATACTGCCTCGGAAACCCAAGGAGGGGTCGCTATGAGTCGGGTTTGACTCGACGGCACATAACAACAACAACAACATATTTCAAGGTAGTCACCTCTGTAATTCTATACCTGGTTTGCTTTAGTAATCTTTGCAGGTTTTACTCACCTAAAGTCTTTGCTCATATCAAGTCATTTAAAATAGTCTTCATCAAACATAATTTCAAATATCAGTTCCCTATTTATGAATCTTATTTTTTCCTCTCATGTAAAAATGTGTTCTTCTGCTGATTCCCTCCATCCCAATTCCTGTCAAAAGTTACTATTTAAGAAACCCTACTTAGTGACAAGTAATTGATTAGTCTTTATTTCCTATCTCCAAACCCTCTTGTAATTTTATTATTGCAATCAAAGATAATTTTATACTTGATATCATGGCATTTTGTATGTGTATATTTTGTGCCTTAAAGTGTTGGCACTAGCTGAAATCCTTCCATGAAGATTTTCACTATATCAATAATTTAAATTGTAGTAAATAAATAACTATAAAAAACAAATAGAAAAAATAAAATAATGAATTTTGGAATATGATAGACCTACATTCAAATAGTCAATTTTATTAAAATGATCTGAGACACCTCAGTCAAATTATTTAATATACTTGAGGTTCTTTTCTCACTCATAAAATGGGGATTTCTCCTTGGGTTAAAAAATTAGTAAATAAAATAGCATGGGTAAAAATGCCTACTAAAATGATTGTCACATAATAATTGGGAAATAAATGTGAATTTTTTAAGTGAGAAAAAATTCACTATTTTAGATATAATGGCCTCAATCTAATAGAATAACATAAAATAGAAATGAATGTATGGCTTTGAAATTTGGAACAACCCATCTGTAAAAGTTCAGTAAAGAAGAGAGATCCTTTTTCAGCAGAGCAAATCGCCAAACGGTTTCAATTAATAGTAACACAAATGCAACACACTGCTGTAGAGTCGGATCTGAGCTGTGCCAAAGATACTTCACTAAATATCTATTTATTATCTGGCATAAAGTAGAATATTTCACAATTATCTTTGGCACAGCTAATCTAACATCTGTTTTCTCATAGTTAGGATCAAATATTTTCTCATATTTAGGATCAATTCCAGCCTCCCAGAAAGCATAATTCTTCATATGGTGTGATTTTTACTTTGATTGACAGTTTTGTCCCATTTGAAGGCCATCCAGTTTACCTACATGCCTTTTGGACATGGTGTTCATGGATCACAATAGAATAGAGGACTGCCTTCCCTGTCTTCTGTCAGTGCAGTGAAACACTATTTCAGATTTCCTGGAACACACAAATCAGTATCAATAAGGCATCTGACTGCTAACCAGGAGGCTTATCTTTCTGGGAGCTCTGGTGGGGTAGTGCCTAAGGCACTTGACTGCTAACCAGAAGGCTGGTGGTTCAAACCCACCAGCCACTCCTCTCAAAGAAGGTGGGGCAATCTACTTCCATAGTAATACTGCCTTGGAAACCCCAGGAGGGATCGCTATGGGTTGGAGACAACTCGATGGCACATAACAACACATCTTTCTAATTTGTTTTCAAAAATATTTAGATTGGCTTACAAAGACATAGGCCATAGAGCAAGGTAAAATAAAATAAGAAAAATAAGCATAATAATAATAACAATAAACTATATAAGACAATGGATCCTTTTAGAGTAAAGATAATATCCCAAATGCCAACTTCACTCTGACATAGTATAAGATATGAAGGATAAAATGATGTATCGTTTACTGGTTTTCAAACTGTTTTGAAACAACTGTGGTCTATATCTGCACGGAGAATGCAGCAAGCCTACTGCAAAAATGACTCCCGATGATTGTAAAAGCATTAATGATAATAATGATGAAGCTGATAAATAAGTTAATTCAGAGGCTAGAAAGTAGTCCATGCATAAGTGAATGAAGCAGAGTTAATGTGATCAGTAAAATGAATCTATATTGTTGAGAATGTAGGGACCACACCTGCTTTAGTGAAATGACCAAATTTACATCAACATTTTTATTGGTTGAGGCCACTTGACTGCACTTAATAGACACATCATGTTTTATATTTCATCTTTCCTACATTCTGTGGTGACTCACAGCTAAATCTCTGATGCAGAGTCTTTTCCTTAGAGTCTTCTGATTAAAATCCTTTTTCTCCCAGGCTGAGAAATCAAATGATGCTACATGCACTTCTTTTTCTTATGGGAGATCCCAAAATTCTGTCATTATCCTTTAGAAAGCAGAAAGCTATGAAGAAAGATGATTGAAACTAATGAAATCCTAAAGGGTATGGATAACATTAGCACAATCAATAATTCTAATAGTGAAGCTCTTGAGTCATAAAGGAAACTCATCTCAATGGATGTGACCTTTTGCAGGCTAGAATCTGGAGGCAATGGGCACTCTCATATGTTTCAGAAAAGAGTCTTAATTGGTGCAGTTTTTCTGAAGGACAATTTGGCAATAATTTCTAAAATAAAGCTGCATGTACACTTTGGGCCAGAAATTAACACTGCTCCTTCAACATTGTGAAGTCATGTTAACCAAGTTAACATGATCACAGTATATTTTTAATTTTAAAGACTAGAAACTATCATTGTCAACCCTAAGAGGCTAATGCCATACATTCCAATATGTCACTATCATAGAATACTTTTAAGTAGGAGCTCTGATGGTATAGTGCCTAAGACATTTGACTGCTAACCAGAAGGCTGGGGGTTCAAATCTACCATCCACTCCTTGGAAGGAAGACTGGCAATCTACTTAGAAGGTAATAAGACAAACATATCTGGGCTCTTCTGAAAAGATTCCCAAAATAACTTCAGTGAAATAAGTAATGTTGAGAACAGCTTACATTGTTTATCTTTGAATAAAACAGTTTATAAAGATTTTAAACATGGAGTTATATATGCTGGTATATACATAACTTATTGCCCTCTGGAAAGAAGTAAACTATTGGACTAACAAGAAGAGAAACTAAAATGGTGTCAGGGGATTCTCTTGCTTTTCAGTTGATATTTCTATTTGCTTGGCTGTAACTTACCATGTATATGCATTGCTAAAACCTAGAAAAATTTACACGCTGAAAGTTTGGGAATATAGGACAGTTTGACTGGAAAGGCACCAGTCCACCTAGAATTTACAGCTGCCTGTGTGAACAGATGTTCCCTAACTTCCTCCTTGGCTTTAATCCACTTAGTTTTTTGACTTTTGGATTATTCTTCTGCTTAAGTTGATTACTTCCAATTTGCCTTTGAACCTGACTCTTACTCTTTTACTTGTCCATGGCAGTTTATCTAGCCTAACTTAATTGACTTTTGCCACTTTGTCTCTAGACTTGGATTCTGCCTCCAGCCGTGTTCTGCTCACAGATCAACTCATTTTGGCTTTAAGTCCTGTTCTTCAGTATATCCACTTAACTTCGATGCAATTCCCTCACTGACAATTTTAGCCAACACATTCCTAGAATATTCTATTTTGCAAGTGAAAATTGGAAGTAAGTAGCTTTCTAAAAAATGATTATATTTTGCACTGAGCATTATAAAATGCTCTGCCATTTTGTTTTTGCTATGTTCCTTGAAAATTTGAATTCACATATTCCTCTAAATTCAATGACTAGCGAAACAGCCTTGTAAACAAATATGCACCAGAGAAAATCAAGAGGGACAGGTCCCACCTCTCCCTAAGTAAAAAGTTCTCTTTTCAGAACTGAGCTCTCCCTTGTGAACTTGGGATCTAATGATGGATCAGGAGCTGAGATCATTGCATGTGTCTCCTTTCCCAGAGGAGGGGTATGGGTCATGCACATTCCAAGTGGGACAGTCAATTTATACTAGAAGAGTACAAGTCCAAAGTGTCATAAGACAGTCTTACCACCTGATCTCACATTGACTTGCAAGAATGAGCCCAGGGAAAACTCAATTTTAAATTCAAATGCCTGGAGGGCAATTCACAAAGCAGTTAGTCTTTGTGGGAGATGGAGCCTAACTAGGGTGAGACATTATGACTGGGGCAGCAATGGCAGTAAAAAAGAACTCCAGGAACATTCAGGAGAGTTGTTTTAGTTTTAAGTATTTCTTCTTGAACTTCTCTATGACTATCTCTAGGAGCTCTGGTAGCATAGTGCCTAAGGCACTTGACTGTTAACCAGAAGGCTGGCGGTTCAAAGCCACCAGCCACTCCTTGGAAGGAAGGTTGGGCAATCTACTTCCATAGTGATACCGCCTCGATATCCCAAGGAGGGGTTGCTATGAGTCAGGTCCAACTCAACA